GTGAGACACACACACACACACTTTATGAAGTGAAATAATATTACCAAAAAGTAATATATCAATAGTATTTTATCCCATTCAATCTTTGTGGTTTGTTTTTTTTAAAGTCATGCTGGGTCCCTAGGGCCAAGGGGAAAACAGGTCATCAAATCAGGCTAGTCTACTGATGTATAGTATAAGCCACTATGTAACAAAGGATGACAAGTTGTCGTTTCCTTGGAACCCCTAGAAGAATCGATGCCTTTTAAAGTTACCTTTGTTTTTAGAAGAAGTTTAAAATTATTAACTTTAACATTTTCTCACTTGCAGCAGTATACTTATTTGCACAAGACTGTTTTCCAGTAACTATTCTCTGAACATTACTTTGCTAATCAGACTTGTGGCTCTACACATCTTGTGTCATGGTTACAGAACTATTTGAGGCAATAAAACTCTTTGGGGGTAGGGGAAAGCACACAAACACCTCTGACACCCAGTAGCCAAGCACTGAAAATTTCAGAATGTACCCCGTAAGTCCTTCAACTTCTTTTCACTCCAGGAAGTTGTTATCTTCTAGGTAGAGGGGATGTAAAAGTATGATCTGCAGACTGCACCAGGTTTGGATAACAAATTACTGATAAGCATCTCCGTGAAATATTTATTAGTCTCCTATAGCAAAGATCTGCTGAGGCAGCAACAACCCCACAGAGAAAGTCTGGAAAGAATTTAAGAACTGTTTTCCTGAACTAAGGATCCAATATGAATTCAGAGCTAATAAGATAACATTTTGTAACAGCGAGAGCTGCTACCTGTTGTCAGTTTAGACTTCTGTGCAGACATTACAAAGTAACAGTGCCAAAGTTATCACTTAATGCAAGTTGTCCATCATCCCTGAGGAAGTCAGCAACAGATTAAGTCCTTGTTCTGAAGTAGGCACTAGAGCTGCCTGTCCTTATTACAGCACTGAGGAGTCCTTGTACATGCCATACACTCCACCAGGTGTGTCCTCCTCTCAGATGAGCTGATCCCAGAAACAGATTCAGTGGGCATGTCCATGTGGCAGGCCAGTAGGGGGCGCTCCTGCACTGAGACACCTGCCACACTGCGCCCTACCAAAAGCCAGGCTTCAGATGCCTTCTCAGGGGCACCAACTTCTGGTCAATCCCCTTCCTGGAGCACACCACCCAGACTCAGGCCTTTATCTGGGCCCTGTGCCACCTGGGATACACATGCCCTATAGACCTTGGGATCCTGAAGTGCTTCTATTAGCCTGAAGCACAGAAAGTAGCCTCTCTTTGTCAACAGAACCAAGGGGACACAAAGGCATACCCGATCCCTCTCCCAGCAAGTTCACCATGCTTGCAATAGTGGAGAGCTTTATTGGTTAAAGAGGGCAGGGCTTGGGGAAGGGTACAGGATACAGAAGCATCAAAGAATAACCTTAGACAAAACAGTGGGGCTAGGTAGCCTTCTGCCATGCTTCTGCATGACAGTAAGCTACATTTCTATGTAAGTTTCTGGTAAGTTACTCACAAGGATCATCCAAAAGCTGACTGAACTTTCCTCTGGAGGTGAGCAGGTCATGGCGTGTCAGTGAGTTCTGAAAGGGGCTCTCCCAAGACAGACGAATCCTTAAATACCCTGTCGTGATCTCATCACTAAATACTCACCAGAAGCATTCCACCTGGCTGATGCCTGGTGCTTTCAAATGACATCACCTTCCCAGGTAAGGGGACCAGTAACCTGACCTGCAGTAGTGGGGAACCTGAGACAAAGGGAGCAGGTCCCCTCTCCCTCAGGAATGTCCCCACCCCAAGTCACAACCCAGTGTTAAATGAAACGTGGAGGAGGGGCTGCGGCCTACTTACAGCAGCGAAGCAGAGTGGAGGGATGATTCCTCCACAGTCTACACATTCATTAATATGCTTTAGTTAATGCATTATGGGGTACTAGGAAAATGTGCTTTAGCCCGTCTTAACGCACATTAACTAAAGAGCACAGTTTTTGACTGACTTAAAAGCACATTAAAATAGGCTAATGTACCTTAACGCACATGTGTGAATGCACCCAGTCTGAACTTCAATGATTAACCAGTACATGAGAGAAGACACATCTGTCAGGAACTGTTTCAGTGAGTTGAGATGAACAGGCTGGTGACCATACCAATGCTGCTGCTAAGGCAACCTCAGCTAAAATGGTCACATATGACTCAGTTTCACTGTTATATGCTGAATTAGCCAAGGCTAAGGACAGGCATTTGATTCCATCACTGCAAATCTCTGAAAAGTCTGTAGCCCTAGAAAATGTGATGAGAAGATGCATACCCCTGGCTGAACAGCAACTAAGTCATCTCAGAGACAAGCTCTCCAGTCAGGGACACAATAGGAAGCTGTTCCTTTGCTCACTTTCTTCAAAAACAAAACAAAAAGCCCCTTGACAACCAGTACACCATATTTTTGTGCTGGGGAAAAAAGTCTGAGAGATCATTCTCTCAGAGGAATGGGTGGGAATGCAGAAGACTCTGAATCTGATCTGAATAAATCCTGACACGCAATAGCATGTGTGCTGATTCTGGAACCTGTCTTTATGTGAAGACAGATGCTGTGTTACCTAAGACTGCGCTACCCAGAAGCGAGTGTAACTATATTCTCTACTTCATTCAGCTGCTGTTGGTAATTTTACCTGACTGCCAATATCCCAATAAATCATAGTTTCATAGTTTCTAGGGTCAGAAGGGACCTGAGCAGATCATCTAGTCCGACCCCCTGCCATGGCAGGAAGAGCACTGGGGTCAAATGACCCCAGTAAGGTGGTCATCCAACCTCCTCTTAAAAACCCCCAGGGTGGGAGCCTGCACCACCTCACTTGGAAGCTGGTTCCAGACTCTAGCCGCCCTGACCGTGAAGTAGCGCCTCCTGATGTCCAACTTAAACCTTCCCTCCGCCAGCTTGTGACCATTGTTCCTGGTCACTCCTTGCGGCGCTCGGGGGAACAGGGACTCCCCCAGCGCCTGCTGATCCCCCCTAACCAGTTTATAACAGGCCACAAGATCCCCCCTCAGCCTTCTCTTTTGAAGGCTGAACAGGTTCAGGTCCCGCAACCTTTCCTCATAGGACCTACCCTGCTGTCCCTTGATCATACGAGTGGCCCTCCTCTGGACCCTCTCCATGCTGTCCACATCCCTCTTAAAGTGCGGCGCCCAGAACTGGACGCAGTACTCCAGCTGCGGCCTGACCAGTGCCGCATAGAGGGGGAGGATCACCTCCTTGGACCTGCTCGAGATGCATCTGTGGATGCACGACAAGGTGCAGTTGGCCTTCCTAGCCGCCTCCCCACATTGCCGACTCATGTTCATCTTGGAGTCAATAATGACTCCCAGATCCTTTTCCACCTCCGTGCTGACAAGAGGGGAGTTCCCCAGCCTGTATGTATGGTGCCGATTGTTCCTCCCCAGGTGCATCACCTTACACTTGTCTGTGTTAAACCCCATCCTGTTCTCCTCCGCCCATCCTTGTAACCTATCTAGGTCCAACTGTAGCCTGTTGCTCCCCTCTATTGTGCCCACATCCCCCCACATCTTAGTGTCATCAGCAAACTTGAACAGGGTGCTTTGCACCCCCTCATCCAAATCACTGATGAAGATGTTGAACAGGGCGGGCCCAAGGACCGAGCCCTGTGGGACCCCACTTCCCACGTCCTTCCAGGTCGAGAAGGACCCATCCACTACCACCCTCTGGGTGCGACTCTCTAACCAGTTGGCGACCCATTGGACTGTATGGGTGTCTACGCCACAGTCCCCCAGCTTCCTAATGAGAATGGGGTGAGAGACAGTATCAAAAGCCTTCCTGAAGTCTAGGAAAACTATATCCACTGCCACCCCTGCATCCAATGATTTAGTGACCTGGTCGTAAAAGGCCACCAGGTTGGTCTGACAGGACCTGCCGCTGATGAACCCGTGCTGGTTGCCCCTGAGCATGCAGTTCCCTGCTGGCCCCTCCTGGATGTGTGCCAGAATAATTTTCTCGAACAGCTTGCCCAGGATCGAGGTAAGGCTGACTGGCCTGTAGTTCCCCGGGTCCTCTTTCCTCCCCTTTTTGAAGATGGGAACCACGTTGGCCCTCTTCCAGTCCTCCGGCACCTCTCCAGAGCACCACGAGTGTTCATAAAGCCGTGCCAGGGGACTTGCAATGACCCCAGCCAGTTCCTTCAGGACTCTAGGGTGAAGATCATCCGGGCCGGCTGACTTAAAAACGTCCAGCCCCTCCAGAAGCTCCCTAACTAAATCCTCACTCACTCTAGGCCCAGGTGAGCCTCCCCCGGGGCCCAAAGGGGGCCCAGCAGGGAGGTGGCAGTTCTGGTCCTTACTAAGGAAGACAGAGGCAAAGAAGTTATTAAATATGTTGGCTTTATCGTCTGGCATGACAACCAGATTCCCCGTCTAAAGTCCTACAGCTTTATATCTTGGTAATCCTTTCTGTAGCTGCTGACAACTAAGATACTTTGCTTCATGTTTTTCAGCAGCTATCCCTTTTGGGGCAGCAATTTTGAAAGTGTGCTTAATGGTTTCAAATCTGTCCTGTCTTCTGTACCATTCAGAGACAATTTGTACATATTATTTTAGACACGGAAGATTAATTTCTTCAGGTGGTTGGTCCTGGGATTCACTGAATAAAAGTGTGAATCCAAGATTTAGTTGTCTTTGCAGATTCGTTATAACATGGCTGGATTTTCAGTTTAAGAATGTCTTATGATTCTTTGTGGAGGCAGGAAAGAATATATAATTAGACAAAGCTCCTCAGACAGTTACTTATAAATAGGAACCATCAAAGCCAGAACAGTATTCCAGTCCTTTAATGATGAGGGAAAACGAAGTCCTCTTCAAGGGAATATGTATGAAATGGGGAAAACTATGCTGATCTCAGCTGCTGGACTGCACTAGTGATTCAGCACTGACCAGGAACATTTTTTTTTCCTCCTTAGTCTTTTGCTCTCTTTCTGAAGAGACTGGAAAGTGATTCCCCCTCACTGCTGACTCACCTGCACCTTTACCAGGTCCTACTGTTATACCAGAATTACCGTGGTGGTCCTTTGCTAATTTTGGAGTACAAGATTCCAAGTTCTTCCAAGTTATGCACTGTCAGACCAACCTGGTGGCCTTTTACGACCAGGTCACTAAATCATTGGATGCAGGGGTGGCAGTGGATATAGTTTTCCTAGACTTCAGGAAGGCTTTTGATACTGTCTCTCACCCCATTCTCATTAGGAAGCTGGGGGACTGTGG